CTAGTGACGTGGCTGACGTGTAGTCCGCACTCAATGCGTGTTAGGTGTATCCTTAAGAAGAAAGACCTCTGGGGTGGGCAAGAGTGGAAGCAAGTAGAACGCTGCTCTCGCCTTTGAGCACCAAGGCGTGCCTTGTGCATTGTGTGGGTTGGTGAGACACACGGCTCAAAGGGTAAGGTTGGGTGGAAGGTGAGTGCGTTAAGAAATGTGAAAGGTCCTTGGTGGGTCCAGGATAGAGAAATACTGTAATCGGGTGGCAACTCAAAGCCTGCCCCTCAGCTTTGCTGCCCTAGCAGAGGACACAGGCACAAGGGTGGCCGTGGTTTGCAGGGTCTCTTCAAGGTTGTGCTGGCCCAGGCCACTTGTCTGGAGATGGGGACTGCTGCTCCCTCCTGCTGCCTTTTTGCACCTCCCGAACGCTTACCTCATCCCTGCCCCTCACAGGTGTGGGTTGCATGTCTTCCCCTCTCTGCCTGCTTTCTTTGCCTTGTCAAAGCCCCCCTCCATCCGTTGATTCTGGCAAAGCTGTTCTTGTGTCACACCCCCCTCCCCACACTCTCCAGAAGTGTTTCCTGGTCCAAGGGGGTTTCTTGATTGTTGGACTTCTCCAAGCCTGTGCGCCTGTGAATGAAGACCCTTCAAGAGAGGCAGGCATAGGACGATGACTTTCACATCTGCTGACTACACAGACCGTTGGATAAGCAACTTGGGGTTCCATGGAGTCTTCTCTGGGAGAATATGGTGGGCTTTGGATTCTGGAATAAAAATTTTTAAAAGAATTGAGAAGTTTGACTGTTAACCTGTTAAGGTGAACTTGCTTTTCAGAGAGCACTGTTAATTGGCCGGTCAGCTTGAGGGATTTTCCTGGAGAGGCATCTGGCCCAGTTTTGCAGAATGAGGGAGGAAGCATAGTTCATGCAGCTGTAGAGGAGCTCACAGGCCTGCTAAACGGCAGAACCGCAATTCACCAGACCCCGCCTGTCTCCACCTCCAACGTACAGTGCTGACAGCATTTTAGAAAGTTCTGTTTACTTAGGAGACCCTGCATCTTGATAGCGCTTTCATATACTTTCTCAGATGGAGCCCAGTAGCCTTTGTATTGCACCGGTGGAGGTGCGGGGTGGGATTTATATCAGGGCAACCTCTATAAAATGCCAAAGGCTGGGTAGGACGAGGAGTGAGGGTAAAGGAGAGGAGAGACATGGGGAATTGCCGTGAATTTTAGGGCAGGGTAATGGTGGAGCCACTGTCTGGCGTGGGACCCAGGCAGGTGTAAACCAACATGGTCAGCCACGGGGACACTTGGGTTTTACAGCCTTCAAGGAGTGAGCCAGGGACACTACCTAGAATGCCTGACTGCTTGTCACGATTTTGATTTCTGAGTGTCTTGTTTCAGAGCAATACATGCTGGATTCAGCCCAGATTCCACGTATGTCCAGTCAGGTTTCCCAAGTCCCAGAAAGCTAGCTGGGTGAGAACCCTGTTGGGGGTTCTGTTCTCTAGCCTGCCCGACTGCATCTCCTTCCTTTCCCGCCCTTCTGTTTCCTGCCATTGGCTGCTTGTGGTTGGAAGGAGATGAACGAGGGAAGAGGAGTCGGCACACATAGCTGTGGTGAGGCTGGACTTATCTGGGACTCCTGTGTGTGTCATTCTGTTCCTTCTCTCCTATGGGAGTTTGCAGCAGGGATGCTTGAGTGCCCCATCCCTCGATCAGCCCCAGCTGAACACGGCAGCAGGCATTTCTCTGGAATTATCAGACTACCATTAGAATGGGGGTGGGGAGTAAAGCATCTCTAACGTTTCCTTTGGTGTTTTGTTTATATTTCTATATTGGGATTGGTGAGCAAAAAAGAAAGAAAAAATTTACATCGGCCCTGTTAACACTGGCATCTGAGCAAGAAATCCCTGCAAATTTCTACCTTTGTGCCGGATAACCTGCCAGTTTTTCTCTTCAGAATCATTCCCTGATCTTTTCTAAGGAACTTAATGCTCAGGAGTCTTATTTGTTCTTCCAGACCTTTCCCTGTCCACACACCTTCCCTCCTCCACACCCCCCAGAAAACAACCAAACACCCCACACATTTCACTTGGGCCAGCAAGTACAGCAGTGACAGAACTGTAACAATTGACCCCAAGTGGCTGGGACTTCTGTCACAAAGGAAATGGTGCGGTGGTGGTCAGAGTGTGCTCTTGCATTGTGATGCCCGTTGTGTTGTTACACTGCCGTTGCTGCTACTCTTTGTAAACACATCTCCAGCTGAAAGTGAAAGCCAGAAAAGACCCCAGGCCGGTCCTTTTGCTTACCGACCAGCCATGCTGTGCATGCCTCTGTGCCCCTGGCTGTGCTGTGAGCGTGCCCAAGCTGGCGCGCGGGTTCAGTTTGCTCGCTGATATCCTGTCCGCTGGCTGCTCCCCAGACAGAGCAGAGCAAAGACCGTGGTGCATAGACTCTAGTGATAGCGCTTGCCCTCAGAGGGCTGGAGGACAGGATGCTCAGCCTGGGTGCAGCAGGTCGCTCCACCCCTGTGCGGTCAAGTCTGTCTGGAGATGTCCAGGTTTCCGTGGAGAGCACCGTGGCCCTGCCCTCAGCAGAGTTGCTCAGCTTGAAGGTGCATCCTTAGTTCAGTGGTGCAGGGCAAGGTGGCCGTGCTTCTCCTCGGTGCCACCCAGATTTGAGTAGGAACAGCAGCCCTCCATGGGACAACTGGGTCGCTTTCCACCGCACGCTTATTACAGTGTCCTGGGGTGAGAGAGCCAGCCTTCCTGAGTTTGGACCATTCACTTGTTTTAGCTTATAGCTGTCAATACCAGAGATGACCTCTTTTGTGATACAAGAAATATGTATTTACTCATGTCGAGTGCAGCTGCCCTTTAAATGGTGTATTTGTCTTTCATTATTAATTTAAGTGGAAAGAGGCATTCATCATTACTCCTGCTTGAGAACTTCCAAAATTGATCTTTCACAAAAAAAAAAAAAAAAAAAAAAAAACCCCAACCAAAATTGATCTTTTTTTTTTAATTTTTTTTTTTTAGCCTCTGTCCAGTAAGGATCTGAATTTTAAACATCCTGTTTCTGGTTATTCTGGGAAAAGATTTTTTTTCTTCTTTTCACATCGTACAAAAGTAGTATTTTGGGGGAATGGCAGCGTAAAGTCACTGTAGACGTCCGTCTGCAGCGTGCATCAGTCACTGTGGTGTTCAGCATGGGGAGGCAGTGCCGTCTCCTTAACAGAACTAGGGAGGGTAGAGAGCGCTTTTCCTCGCGAAGGACTGGAATGAGTAGCTTTCCTAAAAGTGCGCATAGTTGATCAAAGGGAAAGCAGGAAGCAGTCAAATGCTACTGTAGAAGCGGTAGCATTTTCTCCTCCTCACTGGCGCAGCAGTTTAAAAAAATGCCCTTTTGGCCAATTGATCTGGGAAATGGGAACTAAACCCAATGGTGGGAGCTTGAAGATGTAACGGCTTTTTGGAGGACAGTTTGGGAGCATAAATAAGCCTCACTTTCTTATCCTTTGGTCCAGCAATCGCTCACCCACCCCAAACAGTTTGTATTGGCATGTGATTCTCATGTATAATTCATTAGTTCGGTCACATCAAGCAGAGTGCACAGTCATCACAGTCGGGTTGAGGGCATTTTTCTTCATTCTTGTACTCATTAGTTCCCATTCCCCTAAGCCAGCAATTGTTTTTCAGAGTTTACCCTGAGAAAATGGAGAAAACAGGAAAGCTCAGCATTGTTTGCAATCGTGCACAATTGGGACTAGACATTAGAAGTGAGCTTGAAAACCTAAAGATACAGGCAAAGTTTTATAAAAGGTTTTCTTTTTATAATAGAAATAAAGGATGTAAAGTATAGTAACCCAGTTTAAAAAGACATTTATGTGTCTGTATTTGGGGCATAACCCTCAAAGGCTAAGAGTGGTCCTATGTGTAGGCTTAATGGTAATAAAACATACAAACTTTATTTTATTAGGAAAGCAAACATTTCTTTTTGAGTCCACTGAAGATGGTTTGATATTTCGACTTGTTAGTAGAGTGTAAACTGGAGATTTGTATTTCTCACTAGAATTGGTAGGTTGATTACCCTTAAACTCTAGAATATGGCATGTCGACTTTGAAGTATGCTGTGTTTAACACATCCATCATACTAATTTTAGTTAATCTTAACACATCCTTTCTCTTGGAAACTAAAATTCGGTATTTTAGCATTTCTTCTACGCATTTTTGTTTATCCTTTTTTGTTGTTGTTTACCCTTTTTTGTGATCTGTTTCCTTCGAGAGAATGATCTGGTTTCCATGGTTTATTGTAAGGAAGGCTTCAGCAATTGATGTTTAAGAGTAATGTCATAGTTTCTCTTTTTAGTCGCCCTGGCTCTTTTCCTGAATTAAGCCTATTTAGCTTAATTCAGAGGCTTAAGATGTTTTTCTTCTTTTCATTCCCTCACTTTTTATGTGCAGTGACTACGTGTCTAGTGTAGCTACCAAGCTCTCTACCTCTTCCCCGAGCAGCTGCAGGAAGTTTGCTGCATAGTGTGAAGTTGAAAGTAGACCTCAGCAAAGCCCTTGGGCCTTAGGGTACTCTAATGAGAGAGCAGCACGCACTCGGAGGGCATGCCCTGACGGGCCTGGGATACCACGAGGCCTTCTGTGCCTTCTCCGCTAGGTTGATGGGCATCTTTCTTCCCTGCTAGAAAGTGTGACAGATAAGAGAAAACTCAATCCCTCAAATGTACTGCCATCAAGTCAGTTCTGACTCATGTCAGCCTTATAGGGCAGGGTAGAGCTACCCTTGTGGGTGCCTGAGGTGATAACTCTTTACAGGAGTAGAAAGCCTCATCTTCCTCCCTTGGAGTGGTTGATTTCAAACTGCTGACTTCGCAGTTAGCCCAATTCACAATCTCGGCGCCACCAGGTCTCCCTGATCGGAAGCTAGGGGTTATTTTTTCCTAGACAGTTATTAACTATTGGCTAGAATTTGTATAGGAAATGTGTAAATCGGTATGTCATCTCCACTAGAGTACATCTTTAATGATGCTCTGTTCTGTTTTTCTCCAGGGGTGAGCCCTTCCAGACTCCGGATAGGAGATCAAGAGTTTGATTCATTGCCTGCTCTACTGGAATTCTACAAAATACACTATTTGGACACTACAACGTTGATAGAACCAGTTTCCAGATCCAGGCAGGAAAGTGGAGTGATTCTCAGGCCAGAGGAGGCCGAGTATGTGCGAGCCCTCTTTGACTTTAATGGGAATGATGAAGAAGATCTTCCCTTTAAGAAAGGAGACATCCTGAGAATCCGGGATAAGCCTGAAGAGCAGTGGTGGAATGCCGAGGACAGGGAAGGCAAGAGGGGGATGATTCCAGTCCCTTACGTCGAGAAGTATAGACCTGCCTCCGCCTCAGTATCGGCTCTGATTGGAGGTAACCAGGAGGGTTCCCACCCACAACCACTGGGTGGGCCGGAGCCCGGGCCCTATGCCCAACCCAGCGTCAACACTCCGCTCCCTAACCTCCAGAATGGGCCCATTTATGCCAGGGTTATCCAGAAGCGAGTCCCTAATGCCTACGACAAGACAGCCTTGGCTTTGGAGGTACATAATGTGCAAAATGTAGAAAGAAGGGATCTGCAGGGTCTCCCTTTCCGCCGAGTGCCAGCAACAGCGTTGTCTGGATGTTGTAGATGTTGAACTGATTTTGGCATTACATGTTGGGTTCTTTCTCTCTCTCTCTTATACTTTTATAAAGTATTTTAGAATAATCTTAAAACTGTATAACTGAATGTTCTGCTTGATCTCCTACTAACCGTCCTTTGACTAATCACACTTCACGAATTCACAGGAATTAACCGCAATACCTTTTCTCACCTGCATCCTACTCTGTTTCTATTTTTCACTGTCTAAAAAAAGGTGGGGGTCACACAAATTTGAGTGTCTTAGGTGATTTCTAGCAAGTCATTTCAATGAAATTTTCTCACAAAGACACAGCGCTTGTTACTTTTGTGAGGGTGAGCCTCCTAACCATTGATGCTAAGAATTTTGGGGGGGGGATGCTAAGAATTTGGGAGGAAGCAGGCAGAGATGAGATCTGTACCCAAAAGAATTAATTCTAAGGAGCAAAAGGGCTAGCCTAGGTTTTTTTGTTGTTTTTAATGTATTTTACAGGCAAGAAGTCAATTCCTCCTGGGTAATTAATTTTGCCTTTTATGGTTCATAGTTGTCCTTTTTTTTTTCCAATCATTTTATTGGGGCTTATACAACTCTTATCACAATCCATACATCGGTTGAATCAGGCATGTTTGTACATACGTTGCCTTCATTCTTTTCTAGACATTTCATTTCTATTGAGCCCTTGGTATTAGCTCCCTTCCCCAATAGTTACCCTTGTAGCACATCTTCTGGCTAACCATCACATTGTTTATCTGCCTCTTTCCTTCTCTTCCTGCCTTCCTTCAGTTATTTAGAGCTTGTGGTGAACGCTAGAGTAGAACCTGCACGTCCCCCATCCTTCAGAGCCAACTGAGGGCGACTTGGAAGTGAGCAAGTGGCTTGCTTTCATGAGCACAGACACCAGTTATGTGAACATGGATTATCAGAGAAAGAACAAAAATGTCTTGTTTTCCCTGGGTCTTGTTCACACAGTGAGGAATAGGCGCTTCCCTCTGAGTGGGTGTAGTAGAGTGAGCTAGAATTTATGTGAACCATTCTCCAGTGTAACTGGATCTGAGTTTTTCTTTCAGGGTCTGATGAGTGGGTGTAAAGGAGGGCTAGTTGGGTCTTAGTAGGTTTGACTGAAGAATGTGTGTTTTTAGAGATAATTTTGGATTTAGCATGTCCCTACTTAGATGAATGAATCAGCTGTGTCTTGTCTAGGTCACACCACTTACAGCCCCCAGAAGTTTCTAGCCTCAGGTTTTCATTTACATTTTGATGATTTTAACACCACACTTGGGGCTGTGCACATGGTGCATGTGGCTCTGGCTTTTCTTGCAGACCACGTTCACACTGGGCTGGTCACACCCCGGAGTGAAGAGTTGTCACCTTAATTTTGTTTCCATTTGCATTTCCTTTCTTAAAGGGCTTTATTTTTAAGGACTCTTGTTCTTGATTAGCCCAGATGGGTTGAGCTTTTCTCACTGCTGTGGAATATAAGTCTTGTACAAGAAAGGCTGAAGTAGAACAGTAGTTTATGATTTCAGTAAGTTCTTCGTTTGGGTATTAGTCTTAGCCCCATAGGTGTACTGCTGAAGATGCCTATTTCTTTCTGTTTTTAAACCACCAAGCGTAGCTTCAAAACGGTTTCTAATGTTCTTTAAAATAAATGGAGCTAATTTAGCCTCATGGGGCTCAAGAGCTGGAAAGGACTTTCGATCTCATCATATTGATACATGAGAAATGATCAGAACTGATAAGGGTGGGGGGTGGGCCCCTGCAGGGCTTCACTAGGCTTTCCAAGCTAGCTGAAAGAGACACACCCAGGGTTAGGAGGGCGCCTTTTCTGTCATACCAAAGCCATCTGTGTTTCCTTTTGTTGGCCTCAAATCCAGTTTCATTGCCGTCGGACCTTCATTTGTGCTGTGTGTGCCCTCGGGCATGGTTCTGCGTCCCCATCCCTTTTTGCATGGGGCCTGGTTCCTGCTCTGTTCTGAGGAGGTTGGGAGACACTGAGTACCTGATGAAAATGCATGCATTGCCGTTTGAATGAGAAACATAACTTGACTGGCTGTATAAATCCAAATTTGTCAGTTACCCAGATGCATTTTTTTAAATCCAGGTAATTGTTAATAGCGCTGATAGTTGATAGACAAGAATGATTGAAATTTAGAATTGAGCAGGAAGCTGGATGTAGTCAACCAGTGTCAGAGAGGGAGAAGCCGAGGGTGCAAGGCTTTAATGAAAGCATCTTGGCTTTTAACTGTATTACACGAGGGACTTCAGAGAGCTTGAGAAAATTCATGGTCTTTCCACTCAGTTTTCCCATGGGTTCTTTGAAGCCCCCTCTTAAATTGAGGTCTTTGTAGATATTCTTTGAAGAAAAGGTCACCACGCTTTGAAAAAGTAAGCTTAAACTATTCAAGACCACCTCCCTTCCTCTTCCACAGACATACGTCCTGTATCGTTTATTTGCGGTGCTCAAACCTTCGCTAGAACGAAAGCTACTGCTAGAGATTCCCTCTCGTTTCCCAGCCTCTGGATTTGTCTAGTGCGGATGGAGGCTGTGGAAGGAAGGGATTCAGTGATAGCGACCACAGAGGCCCATTTCATTTTTTGGTCTTAGATTCAACTCTGTATCCTGGCACCTTGGTAGTTGATCTTGTGTCGAGTCTTGTAAAATTGCAGGTGTTAAAAGTTTATCTCACGCCTCTGTAGAAAAAACTCCCCTTCTCTGGTCAGTCTTCCTTGGCTAGCAGCATCACGCATGTTCTCAGGCTTGGACCTTGTTCAGGACTTGGATAGGGAAAGTATAAAGTACTTTGAGTCTTTCTACACCTTCCCAGTAGAACTCTAGAAAACCTGTCTGTTTCAGCCTTTTGTGTGGCAAGGTGGAATGAGGAGCCTGTTGGTGTATCTCTGTTGGAGAAAACAGTGGTATTGGAAGGGATACCAACCTGTGCACTAAGTCCCAGATTTGTCCAGTTTTGTCTTTTTCTGGAACTGTTGTGGTTCATTTAGACAGATGTCTGCTTCCCTCTCCATCTTCATTGGCTGTCTGCATTTTCAACATCTAGGCTCACTGGGAAGGGACTGTGGAAGTGAGTGATCCAGTGCTCAGGACCTGAGAGCATGCTCTCTGGTGTCTTAGAGAGGTGGTCTTTGTCAGTTTGAATATCTTCCTTTTCAGGAACTCACTGTTAACCACAGAAGTATAGCCCAAAGGTTCTAAATTGGCTCACAGCACCCTAGTGTCTCCATAAATCTTCACAGTGCTGCTGGCCTAAGGAGCTACTTAACTGTTGGATTTTTTTTTTTTTTTTTAACTGTTGGATTTTTTCAGGTAGCTAGGTCCTAACTATTTAAGAACAGTTAAGCTTGTGTTAAGATGGAAACCTGTCAGAGAAGAAACGTGCTAATGTTCCCCATTAAGTTAAGCTATAGAAAAGTGAGAAGGCCACACTCTGTCAAAGGCGGAAAACTTGTGAGACTTGGAACAACAGGGCAATCCCGTCCCGTTTGAGTTCTCCTAGGTATCGCTGTATGAATACGTCCCAGTGTAGTAGCCATTTAAAAAGATCATCGAAAATAACCAAAGTTCATGGGAAAACTCTGTTCATTTTTTTTAATAAATGAAAAATTGGTTTAAGGAGAAATTCAATAAACAACCAATTGCAAAAATTCAAAGATGAAATAAACCTTTAAAACATAGATCTGATTTAGAAGTGATTATAAATAACATGGTATTTGATGATAAAATTTTTTTCTGATAAATTTTTATTCTAAGTTATCGTAAGTGAAAATCTAAGACCAATCTTATATTAAAAAAAACCAAAAAACAAGCAAACCATACTCACTGCCATCGAGTGGATTCTGACTGAGGATGGCCCTGTAGGGTGGAACTGTCTATGGGCTTCTGAGACCGGAATGCTTTACCTTATCTTTCTCCTCAGGAGCTGCTGATGGTTTTTGAACTACTGAACTATTGGATCCCAGCCCCAAACTTAACAACTGCATTGCACTACATATTATAAAATATCGCAATATTAAAAATCTAACGTATAGAAAACCTGAATAGTAGAAAATATTATTTTCAAACTATGGCTAATAAAAATATTTCCCAAAAGCACAAGTTCATTTAATAAAAATAATATACTATAATCATACAAAGTTAATTACAAAACTAATAATGAAGTGAAAAAATAAACAAATTAAAAGTAAATATAATAATGCTCCTTTGTTACGTTCCATTTTTATTCTAAATGTATTTTGATGTGATCTTAATACTTAATACGTTTGTGTGTAAGCCAAGTTTTTCAGCACATTTTTTTTTTCTTTTTTTTTTTTTCCAGCACATTTTAATGCAGTTTTTGTGGTAAAATTAAGTGCCTCGGCTGATATTTGGGTCAGCTTCTACACGAGTATATACGGTAGTTTATAATTTTGTTACCTTTTAATTCCATTCTTGCACAAGCTTTTGAAGCCCCTGGTACACTTGTTGGACATGGCACAATTTCTCAAAACTTGAAGATCTGTCAAGCACTGACACCTTTTGTTGTTGTTCCATATTTTTTTTATAAGTGAGGTACTTTTTGCCATAGCATTTTCAAAACTCAGCTTCACATAAGATAGGACTTCATTAAGAGAATGTGGTGAGATGTCCTTCAAGCGCTGCTGTTCCCCCTGGACGTTTACAATGTAGGACCACTGTGAGTCTGCTGTAATGGTGCCTTGGCACTGTGTAGTTTGAGAATTTTAGGTCTGCCCCGTTGTGTTCATTTTGAGAAAACTATATAGACAGTGTGGTCTCTGCCTCACCTCTTTCTTACCAGGGTTGTGGAGAGCCCAGTTTCTCTGGCTACGATCAGTTGTCGAGCTAGAGAAAATCTTTTCGGACTTGAGTAGAACCCTAGGATAAGAGCTGTTGCCTAAAATTTTGTGAT